CAGACGAAATTGGTCGCTGCAGACAGTGGGATGGCTGTAGATAGGGGGTAGCTATATACATGGGATGGCTGTAGAAAGAGGTTAGCTGTAGACAGAGGGTGGCTGTAGACAGGGGGTAGCTGTAGACAATGGTTAGCTGTAGACAGGGGTTAGCTGTAGACAGAGGGTGGCTGTAGACAGGGGGTAGCTGTAGACAATGGTTAGCTGTAGACAGGGGTTAGCTGTAGACAGAGGGTGGCTGTAGACAGGGGGTAGCTGTAGACAACGGTTAGCTGTAGACAGGGGGTGGCTGTAGACAGGGGGGTCGCTGTAGACAGGGGTCGCTGTAGACAGGGGTCGCTGTAGACAACGGTTAGCTGTAGACAGAGGGTGGCTGTAGACAGGGGGTAGCCGTAGACAACGGTTAGCTGTAGACAGGGGGTCGCTGTAGACAGGGGGGTCGCTGTAGACAGGGGGTGGCTGTAGACAGGGGGTCGCTGTAGACAGGGGTCAGTGTAGACAACGGTTAGCTGTAGACAGAGGGTGACTGTAGACAGGGGGTAGCTGTAGACAACGGTTAGCTGTAGACAGGGGGTGGCTGTAGACAGGGGGGTCGCTGTAGACAGGGGTTGCTGTAGACAGGGGATGGCTGTAAGCAGCTTCTTCAATTTGAAGCAACTGTGATACTGTAGTAGAGGTTGTTTGTCAGTCCAATTCTAGACCTTACATTTTCCCCAATTTTCTTACATCAAAGGTTCTAAACATCACCGTCCTTAGAAACATCTGTATGATGCAGGTTTACTCTTTATTTAGCTTTGATTGGTTTTCCATTTCCTTGATTCCTCCCGTTACGGGGTATCGTCTCACAGACAAACGTGAGAGTTCTGAAGACTGATTATTTGGTCACATCGTATCTAATCATGAACCATATCAGTATTTTCCTTGTTTTTGTATTAAAAAGTGCAATTACACTGGCGTCTTTCATACAGACATATGTGACGGACATATAGTGAGACAGAGGTAGACTCAAAGGAGGCTGATTTTTACTACTGCTCTTTAACAGACACATTACCACAGTCCCAGGCCCAGACAGTGATTCTGTCCCATGTTGATATCGAAATCTTTATCAGTAAGGCAGAATATCTATGTCCACTTTGAAAACTGAAAGTGGAGATACATTGACCCTTAACCACTATCAAACTCAAATGGATTCTGCCATATCACATCATAGAAGATTCCATTACAAGTATGAGGGGTGCTTGAACACCTGACATAGATACCAAGTCTTCAAAATGCATGACAGAAATATTGCCTTGCTGTGATTAGTCTGTCAGTCTGCCATTGTGTGGATTACAGAAACATCCCACTCATCTTCATCTTATCCTCCTGAAGAGTTTTAAAGTTTTTCTGGACCCACAGGAGGTCCGTCTGGTCTGTATGATATTGACAAGTTTCTCTCATACAAAGAAGTGTTTATGTACCATCAACATCTCATGTGGTTATCTCATCATCATAAAAACCCTTAGAAAATTTCATTAATTGTATATTCTTATAAAGTGTCAAGGAATAAATTGACAGCATTGTGTATAACTAGACCAGGCCTAAAACATTTTGATCATCCAGAGTTACTTCCCTTTATTTCACTCTATCAGTATTTCTTGTATTTCTTTTCTTTTTTACAATCAAATGTAACCATAAACAAGCCTTATTTTTCTATGTGTGTTCACCTTACTGTTTGACAATTTTACAAACATACACCACAGGGGTTTGCTTTTTTCCCACACCTGGTGAAAGTCTTCCCACAAGAAACAGCAAGCTATCAATTTCACTTAACATACAAAAACTTAGTCACTCTACATGAGAAGCCTATGTAGTACAAACTTCTGTTAAGTTTTTTCTGGATCTTAAAAGTCCACTGAGGCAATAATTGTTTCTGTTGCAGAGAGAACAACAAAAAAACCCTCAGAACGCCACTCCATCCCAGGTTTACTCAAATGAGAGATGAGGCTTATTTGTACGTCTGGGTAAACTGTTTCAGTAATGATTTTTACTCCAATCAAACTTCAGTTCCAATGTGCAAAAGAAAACTTCAGGCAAACCCAACAGACTGGCAAAATTTAGAATGCATTGGACATCAGAAATATACGATGTGTACCTGAGATAACATGCAATAATTCATCACATTATTGTAAACACAGAATAAATTCAATCTATTTCATTTCACAAATTGTACTTATAACTCCAGTCCTTTTTTTTCCTTTTAAAATCTCATATTGTATTTCACATTCCCAATCTATACAAGAATGTTCTTAAAATAGAAAAGCATTTGAATGTAAATTTTCAATTAAACTGATTTTTTCGTTAAGTTTAAGATTGTAAGAATTCAATTACAGCTCAACACACACAAGTTATACAAGAAAGTCATTGTGAATCTCTAGGAGTCCCACTTTTCATTAGATTAAGTCTATACAACACCAAGATTGATATCAATGTCAGTCATTTCTGGAAATAACATCAAATTAAGTTAAATGTCTCCAGAAAACTTCTTTCAAATCAGTCATAAAACTGATTATGTCTGTGAGCAATGGAGCGAAACAAACAATTCCTATCATCAATCATTGGACAATTTCTTCACTTGAGTGACTTGGAATGGAAATGAACATCTGAACAAAACACACCGTAAGATACTGACCTTTATTATTTGGTGCTAAATGAAAAGTAAATAAAATGTTTTCATATTTTATCTTTTAACAGTAATTTTCGCTGGAGACAGAAACCTAAAGATTTCATTTAAGTCACTTTACTGGTAACAGGTATTTGAAACTTCACCTAGAAAGAATAAATCTGACCTACTTTTCATGTAAAGGTATTCTGTCTACTGCACAACGTTACACAAACCACGAAATAAATACCACATGAAGACATAACAATAAAAACCACAATCAAAATATTTCGGAAGTTTTTGTCATCAAAAGAAAAAATATTCACCAACCTGTTCCCTTCCGACTTTTTAAGTCCTTTACGATATGACAGGGAATGTCTCAGTGCAATTTGAAAGACGTCACATCAACAGGCAAGGAACAGTATTGTACACTAGGAAGCATGAGGAGTATTCTAACCATTGACGTGCACCAAGCCGTGACCAACACTTCATTTCCAATTTACCTCTATTCAGATCGGTCGCAAGTCCTTGTCAGAGAGAGGCTTTGAAAGTGCTATATATCCCGTAACATAACATTCTGTCATTGTTGTATTATGTCTGTTCCCGATAAACCAACACAACACACTAGTATTTATACAACAACCCACTGGATACCTGTCATATTAAATTATGTCACAAATCTGTTTTCATTAAAAGCAATCACCTGACTGGCATTTGAATTTTTATTTTCATAAATAAAAACTCATGGAATAGCTTTTCAAATAATATCAAATATATTCTACACAATTTTGCTTTGTCATCAGCAATGAAACACTGTTAGTTCAAATCAGGCCATTGTTAATACATTATTATATATTTTGAAGTTCTATGTATTTATCTTATTTAAACATTATTGAATGTAAGTTAACAGGTGTAGATGTAGACATGAGATATTAAGATTTGATCATTTTCTTTCAACCATAAACATTTTCACATTTCAATCACAGATTCTATGAATGCGATCAAGTTGAACTTTGACCCCTATCATAAGAACATGTTATGCTTAAGAGCATCAAATGAACAGATTTTGGTTATGCAAGATTACACATTAGAATTACAATTGCTAGATATCTGATACAAGAGATGAAATGTAGCTGTATTAGAAGTGAGATTTAGAACAATACCATGAACCATGCAGAAGTAAATCAATATTTTTCATTTTTTCATGCAAATTAAACTAGCATTAAGTCTGACAGTATGAACCAGTCAAGTGGTTTATCAAAACTGATTTTAAACAAAATTCATGGGTCAAACCATCAATTTTCAATCTTGTTTCAATGTTTGTGAAAACCACATAAACATTAACAGCAAACAATTTACTACTGAAAACTTGAAAATATAAAATTCTAAAAACAAAATTTTTAAAAATGTTATACCCAAAACCCATTTTATAGCATTACAAAAATTTCACCAACAGCATGGCTTCACAACATAGGGAAAACGTGAAAACAGAAATTGACATCTGGGGGAAATCTGTGTGAACAGGAGAAGCACTAAAGGGAGACAACTGTATTTTTCTAGACAAAACCTACACCAAACCCATATTTCATAAATGAAGTGAAATATTTGAGTCAATTTTTTTTAAACATTGGGCAGGGATATATAATATTTTGATATTCATCACTGATATTACAAATTAAATAGAATACTTATCTTAGAAACCTGATTTTTAAGGGAGTAAATCCAAGTTTCTGTCTTCATTTTGCACATCCTTCAGTGGAGTATATGAAGATTGTAAGTAAATATAAAAGACAACTGAATGACAGGAAGTGATGAGGACAAACCAATTTATACCCAATAACAATCAAAATTTTCCATAACCAATCAAATCCCAAATTCACAAGAATTAACATTTCAGGTTGAATTTTTGTCCTATACAGCTCATTAACCCAGTTCCTGCTTACACCAAACACATTTTATTTTTCAATGTATCATATTTTTAGTGGAGTTGAGCAATTTCGAAATTTTCTTGAATTTTTTTCTTATTTTCAGAAGATATTGAATCTAGATTTAACATGTTTTTGAAATCAAAATAAATTTATCGTACAATTAAATGAAATCATAAATAGTTTTCAATGTCGGCTTTCCCACCATAAAAATGGCTAAAAGATTATGACAATAAGAATAAAAGACATGTTTTGTGTATTTGAAGCAAGTAATTTAGTAATGTTAACATAGCATCTGTGATTGGTTAGATCAAGTTTAATCAATACCATTAGGGCCAATCAAAATAAAGGTAACATTGTGAATTTGGGTTTGAATTAATGGTACAGCAGAATTAAATCACAGCATGACAATATAGACACAATACAGAACTTAGATCCATGCATCAAACGCAGCCATGCTGACTTACCTTGGTATTCATCTTTTTAAATCCAGCCTTCATATCAAACAAGAAGAGACTCATTTATCATAACAATTTTCATTGATCAATATTGAAGTATAGGATGATAATACATCAGAGAAATCTGTAACGTTATATTTCATTGGATGGTAATACATTTGAGAAACATGTAATGTCATATTTCATTGGATGGTAATACATTTGAGAAACATGTAACATCATATTTCATTGGATGATGATACATCAGAGAAAGCTATAACGTCCTATTTCATTGGATGATGATACATCAGAGAAAGCTATAACGTCCTATTTCATTGGTTCGTGCTGAAATTCTGATTATTCCCAGACATATCCATCAACACCACTGCATTATACTTCTCCAATATTCCAGTCAATGATTCACAGATTACATAACAACCGAAACACGATGAAAGTATTACCACTTTTCACATGTGTTGTGTTTATTAAAATCTGTGATAAAACCATTTTCACTTTGAGAAACCTTCCACATCAAGTTATTTGGTTTTACACAAATCTGTGGCAGAAAATTCTTCCTCACATCACCATTGAAAATCCGTGGTTAGTTATGTATTTGATAAGTATATTTACAATCACACAAGTATCAGTGTCTATGTCGCTTGTATGTCAACCTAAACGACCCATGAAGATAAACATTAATATACTCTATTAAAGAAAATTCTCATCACATTTGATGTTTTACCTAGTCACTGAGAGGTTAAAAGTTTGTCACAGAAACATCCTCTAGGTAGTATGTTGCTCTTAGGAAATGATTGAAAAATCACACTGACTTTTGAAAATAACATCATATAGCATTTACTCAACCTTGTCAAGATAAAAACTCCAATGATGAAGTAATTTCCTGTGTAAAGTGTCTCTACTGTGTATAAAGAGCGAGAGAAATTGTCATGTGGGTGTGAAAATGATTAAACTTTGAGACTGTTGTGTCACGGGAAAGTCTCCACTCCTCAAGCACATTTTTCATTGTTTAAGTATATAAAGTATATGTTAAAGAACTTTATGTCTTCAATATTAGAAAAAAAAATCTATTAAGTTTTTACTTTTGTAAAGAAAAATCATTTCAGTACTAAACATTTAACCCTTTTAACAAACCGTGGCTACACAGATCTCAATATCAGTGATTGCCTTCAAATCTGTTCAAAAATCTTTGAGTATACCTAATATATTTCATGTTTTGTTTGAAAGTTACAGAGTCTGCCTACCCTTATAATCATAATAAGCATTTCTAACTTGTTTGAAGTTGGACTAGTCAATTTTTTTATAAAGGGTGTGCAATTATAACAAACTGTAAAGTCATCAAATAGTAAATTAAATAAACAAAACATCAAATGCAACATTGACATTAAAATTCTCTTGTAAATGTTCTAAAATTTTGATTACTCAAATATTTTGTAAATACATTCAAATTACTTTGAATTCCAATATAGTCACCTGGAAGCCATTTTGTTTTTCTGAGACATCCATTCAGTACACGTTAAGAAATAATTATTAATAATGATCGGTACTAAAATTGAAGAGGCAGAACTAGGGACCAAGAGGAACATACACATAATATTTGGGAAAGATCCATTTAGTATCTCTCAAGAAAAAGCAATAAGAAACTTTCAAAGTCAAAATCCAAGATGGCCGACTGTAGGCCATTTTGTTTTTCCGCTCACTTCCAAAATCAAACGAGCACAACTAGGGATCAAGGGGAACCTACATATGAAATTTGAGAAAGGTTCATCTAGTGCTTCTGAAGAAATAGTGATAACAAAAATTGTTGACAGACAACAGACCACATACTTAGGGCAACTTAAATAGCCCTTCATTTGATGACGATAATAGAAAATTTCAGAAAGATCATGTAGTATTCTTCAATATATGACATGCAAAAATCTTTATAAAAATTTCTTCAAAGTAAAATGGTGTATTTGTTGAAATTCATGATCTGATGAGACGGTTTCATTATAGATTAACACCATATTTTCCACACTAAACTGAACATCAATATCAATATGAAATGAGATAATTTTACATCATGGCATCACAATCTCATACCACATTTCTCTGTTTCTCTTGGTAACTGTCCTTAAATATGTGGTCAGTGTCTCAGAACACCCCTGCTGTTGGTCTTTGTAGTACATACAAATCTAATAATCATATCATTCGTGTCAATTTTGTCTTCATGTTTTTCAGCGTAAACATGACTTGACAGCACAAGTATCTGACTCAATTGAAATGTAGTGTTGTTCATTTTTTGATAAATTTTGATGATTCTGAAATTAGTCTAATTTTTTCACAGGTTTTAGAGTGGTCAGTGTTTATTGGGTCAAATGTATTTGGGTGGACTTGTCAAGTATGAGTCTTTTCATCAATAGTTAACAGGATCATTGTCAAGTAAGCGTAATAAATTATGGTGATCGTAATTGCCAGACATTTACCACCTCTGTCTGGATCAGCCACAAAATCTAGTGTATTTTGACTTTCAACAGGTATAATTTGATCCATCTTCAACACATAAGAACACGAGTGACGGCCCTGATCCAACATGTTTTACAACACATCATAATGTAGATAACTTTCAATCATAAAATCACTCAGGCGTAGATGATAGCTCAAGTTCAATCATGTATGACTGGTTCACTTATTTCGCATCATGTCACATCATTGCTGTGATAAAAATATCAAAGAGATGTGAAATGTTGGTTGATAAATCATTGTCACAAACATTTAAGTAGACAAACTAAACGTGCCTTTTAACGACTTATCATACATGTATTAAAATAACTGGCTGCAATAAAACTGATGTTATATTTCCGATACTTCAAAACTTTAAAATTTTTAAAAATTGTTGAATCTGCCCGTGTTTTACTGCATCAAAGAAACACTTGAGAAACTAAAAGACCCTTTATCATTGAAGTTATTAAAAAAAAAAAATTCCTTGAAATCTGCAGCCAAAACCATGGTATTAACTGCTAGAAGGACGAAATAGATTCCACGCCAACAAATTCACGAATCACCAATTTCAACATTGCCGTGGTTGATTGATTGAAACAGATGCAACAGTCTTACACAATCACTCTTCATTAAACATCCCTTTTTTAATTTGCATTTTTTTTAAAGAATTTGTTTCAATCACAAAGTTTCATGAAAATAAACACATGAAATGAAGTTGGTTAACAATACTTTTCCACTTCTAAGATTTCTTGTGTTCTTTAATATCATCACAGCCATTAAGAGTAATTAATATAAGTCTAACAACATGTGTCAAGACAGTTGTGTCAAAAAATGAATTAATTTCTATGACTCATCGTTAATATTTTTAACTCCATGGTTAAATTTGTCATAGGGATCCTGAGTAAACAGCTAAGTGTGGTTTTTAACTGACCACAAACAACAGCATTCAACACAGTCTTTACCATAACCTGTTTGATTTGAAAAAAGTAGCTACTTTAAAATCAGACTGCTTAGATTTACAACAAAATGTAACTCCATGAAATGATTTCAGACTTACCTCGTCCAATTCTGTGTCACTTTCCATTTCTTTCAGCTTTTCTTTTGCTCTGCGGCTTGGTGACTTTGCTCGTCTTTCGGCTGCAGGACTGTTCGGGTCGTTTTTACTGAAAAAGTGTTTGTATTTCATAAACATAATGTTGTGTCCTTGTTAGAATGATCACCTGGATCAGAGCATGTACAACTTTTAAATATCAATAACACAATTTCTTGAAATGTTTTTTAAAGAATTTCTCACAAACATTCAGCATGTATGTAGGCTGGTATTGTTTGTCTACTTGACTGATTTTCTACAAGATCCAAAATCAGTCGGATTTTCTCTTCTATTCAATATCTAACTCAACCCAAAATCAATATTTAAGTGTTAGGGATGAACACACCTGAACAGGTTTACACCTGCATCTAATTAACAAATTGTCTTGTTTATTTATTAATTACTAAGTCAATAACCAGAAAGTAGATATGTAAATTTGTGTCTGTGAACCTGGCAGATTGATGTTACACATGAAATATGTTGCCTTACATATTTAAAGCTTAATATTTAGACATAAAAATAATAGTTTGATGAAACTTTCACACTAGATTCAAACTACTTTTCTCAATCAAAATTCAGAAAGTGTTTACGGTTGATTGATCAGATAAAACTCCACAGCTGTATGTACATACTAGTATAATATTCTATACGGGATGTATAATATATTCAATTATTTCAGATTTAATTCTGTCATATCCTCCAACTGGTACCTGATACAAGACTATCTTTTCATGCGATATGGCTGTGTATTTTGTTTCACATAGAAATAAATAAATCAAACTTCATGCAAATAAATTTTTCAAATTGAAGCTGCTGGGATTATCTACCATATAAGTAATGTACACCAGGTAAATTTTTTCTTTGTATAAAAGAGTTATTATATCAGCCCATCAATCACCTTAAATTAACCCTCCATGGACAAAATGGGCGAATATGACTGTAGGAAAAATTTCCAGATTTACACAAATTTCTTTAAATATCAAAATTGATGACATTTAAATTCCTATTTCTTTTCCCTCTGTAGTTGTTTTGTCTTGATAAGAAATTGTACACATATGGATCAAAACTTGAGAATTTTTGTAGAAAATGTTTTTAATTTCTTAAACTTATCGTCTATAAATGAAAAATTTCAAATCTAATTTGTAACGGAGAAAACTGTGGGCAAGGGCTATCCTAGACAGTGGAAGGTTAGAGGTAAGAGGAGTTCCATGATTTCATTGTTATAATTATATCACACTGATTTAAGCAATCTCACTGATAACTCCAGCTTGTTAATAATTAAGTTACTATTTCAGGTAATCAATTAAGCGTGGTATTAGAATTATGCCTGTGGGTTAGTTTATCGGACAAGCTTGACAACATGGTCGTCTCACCCAGGTTTCCCAGCACATCTGTTGTTTAACTCACTTCATGTCATTTAATATACTATGTTTAACTTGTGTCTATGGAAATCTTTTTCAAAGAATAAGTAGGTTTATGAAAGGCATGTGCGAATGACATTGTGCACACCAGATAATTTTGTTCTTACCTGAAATTCCTATTTTAGTAACTTAACTACAAATACCTAAAATGAAATGAAATTTTTCACTTTGTTATAAATAAAATTATATACATACAAATTGGTATTTTTCTCTACCTTTTCCATCTTTCTATACTATATAAGATTCTAACTAATTCATGTTTTTGGTTGGTTTTCCTGTGAGATTTTCTATACTATATAACATACTCACTAATTTGTGTTTTTCGTTGGTTTTCCTGTCAGATTTTCTATACTATGTAAGGCACTATCACGTTCTGTCCTGAGTTGCTGTAATTCCCTGAGAGCCTGATCACGCTCCTCGACCGCCTTTGCGTTTTCCCGAAGTACTGCGTCACGTTCCTTCAGCGCCAACTCAAAACCCAACTGTAGAGCTTGAGTGGGAGTCTTCTCATCAGCTATTGCCTCTGTAACAAGCAAGGGGAGAGCATTTTAAAAGAATTTTCTTGACTTTATGATACAGAATATTCCATAAGCATTGAATGTATCAAACAAGCTCATCAAAACACTGTTTTTCAGAAGAGTATTTGTCATATAAGTTTTATGACATGGACCACACATACCCCAAAATAAGCAAACATTCTTAAAGATAATTACATTTTTTGATTTTCATTGCTACGACAATTTGATCCATGACAGACCAAAATATTTCACATCATCAACAAATGTGTTTCACAATATTCCTTTTTATATATAGAGCTTACAATCATTGTCTTAAACGTTAGTCGTGTTTTGGCGAGGGTGAAGAAAGACAAAAGTGGAAAGCTTTGTAAGCCACTTTTGTGTCCCCGAGCCAAAATGCAGCTTAAATCTGAAGTGTTAACCATGTAAACTATTTATCCTGAAAAATTAACTAAAAACTCAGACTACCGAAATTTCATTGGTTAGATTGGTCTTTGGTCACATTATGTTGATGTTACACTGAATCAAGCCTAATGACGCATGATATATAGTTCCACATCTCAATGGACATAAAAGGAACTTGCCAAATTTTTGTAAATAAATCTGTTTGTTACAACAAACACGCTAGCTTATTTAACCAGTTGCTAATATTTTTGAATGAAGTGTTTATGTAGATTAGAAATTCTGTCGATTCAATGAATGTGAGAAAATACTGCGGTTTTCCGTTACTGTCGAATACAGGAAAACTATATGTGATAGGTATGTTGTGACAATGGCAGTGCCAGTTGTAGGATAAACGTGTGTACTTGCACACTTATTGGTCTCTTCCCATCATTTCATTTTTCACTTCAGTCAAATAGTCTAATAATCACAATTCACTTGCCTTTCATCTTTCTGCGATTCAGATTCTCCGTTTCAGATGTAAAAAAAATATGGATCACCAGCCTTAATCTACATCGGTTTTCTAAAAACTGGGTAGCTCCTGCCCAAATATGTTACCATCAGGCCAAAATGATTACTTATATATGGTGATATAACTTGTTTCACAAGTGAAGCAAAATATCTCAAGCTTTACAAATTTACAAACATGTTCTAAAAATGAATTAGGCAGAGTGTTAACACAAATACCTTTGTGAAAGAAATATAGAAGTTTTATAAATAGTAATTGTAAACAGGGTTAATCTATGCACTTCCATATTCTGTTGTCTGTATCTGTCAACAGTCACACATCAACTGTTATATATAGACTCTTAACACAATATTACATATAGAATGTAAAGTTTTTAACCTTTTTGACCCATGACCTCTTGTGAAAGGTCACACTAGGCTAACAGATATTCTATTGAGAAAGATTTGACCTGTTGACCTGTGACCCGGTGGTGAAAGGTTAGATGAATGTGTCTGGCCCGGGGAGGTTTTAAATCAAAGTCTGTGGGGAAAACATCAGACACTGAGTCACCATCCAAGGATTTGTCATTCAGTTAGAACTTGAAACATTTATATTTTTAACAATTTTCACAAATACAAATTTAAGTTAGTATGGATCAATCCAACAGACTAGAGGCGGGTTCTTCAATTATCTATTGTATCAATTATATATTGGGTAGTTTGTCTACCAGTTTCGCCCTACAAGTTGGGCTTTATCAGGACAACATTACCTTCCAAATTACACCTAAGTACACTAAGAGGGCAGATTTACAATTGTTAATAGTGACGTCATTAGTGACAAACGATAACTATGATGATAGTTAGAGTCCATTAAACAATGCTCAGTATGGTAACTAACCTAGTGAGAAAATACAAATTTAATCATTTCATGTATATCTAACTGTATCTCCTGACTTTTGTGCCAGAGTTATCATTTCTATAATAAATAAAACTAAACTTTATCTATTTCACAACAATTAATTCCTTTTTATATGAATCACTCTTGCTGCCCCAGATGGAAACACAAAAGTGGGCTTACTGTGGATGGAAAGCAGATTTATAGCCCAAAAACAAGGTTGGGCAGGTGACTCCATACATTTTGAAATCTGTTTCAGAAATGAAACCTCCGACACCTAAGTGATAGTTAGTTACTACTGAGTCACATGACCATCCACAATCTTTTTCAGTAAAACATTCCAATTTCACACCTTGCTTATTTTTGTTTCAGTCTTCATTCATGAATTTCACGACTGAATTCTTGTTTTATGAAATAGCATAATCTGGTTACTAGATACTAAAGAATTCATAATTCATAGAAACTGTGTTTAGAAAGCATCTGACCACTAACACAGCAGCCCTCAGGTCTGCTATATATATGTCAGAGAAATTGGAACTCCAGTGTAAGATTTCTAAGGTTCAAAATGAGGCTTATAGCGCTGGATTTAAAAAAATCTTATCCTTTGTGTTGAGAATTTCAGTCTACATCATAAAGGGATAAATATATGTGTCAGAGAAATTGTATCTCCAGTGTTAGATTTATCAGGTTCAAAATGAGTCTCATAGCGCTGGATTTAAAAAAATCTTATCCTTTGTGTTGAGAGTTTCAGTCTGCATCACAAAAGGGGATATACACAGATAGGTTATTTCTCTTCCATTTTAATCTTCCAACATATTACCATGGATCCAATGTCTTGTGTATATTATTATCAATGATACATGCATTATGTGCAAAATACTTTTGTCATTCTTTTGTTAAGTAATGGTGTAAAGCATGTGTGTAAATTGCTTTCAGGCAGAGCAAGACAAGACATATATTATATCTATGTAGCAAATACAGAAATGCACAGTCCATAGATTGTGCCAGAAAATAACTCTAAACTGCACCACATCATCTTAAAATGAATTGTCAGGACTATCATGAGAATATGTACAGCAGGAAAAAATGATGCAGACAAAATGTGGAATGAAGACAGGGGTTAGGATGCAGCTTTAGTATCTACCAGCTCTTTCTGCATGTGTTTAGCAGATAATTCTATACATAAAGACAGGTGCACCCCAAACTGGTGAACCAGACTCTGTAAACTCACATTGTGTTCACTATAGAGATAATGTATCTCACACTTATACAAAACAGACTCTAAGTTATCTTATTGGTAAATTCAATTCATATTGTATTCATTTCCAATTCATTTTACATGGGACAAAACAGTACACACATAAAAGGATTAAAAATATACCACAACTTTCAATTGTAGTCAGCTTCAATTACATGCTATAACCTAATTGTCATTGGTAGGGTCACAACTCCTTGCCAACGATGCCATTGGTAGGTCACAACTCCTTGCCAACGATGCCATTGGTAGGTCACAATTCCTTGCCAACGATGCCATTGGTAGGTCACAATTCCTTGCCAACAAAGCCATTGGTAGGGTCACAACTACTTGCCAACACAGCCATGGATAGGGTCACAACTCCTTGCCAACACAACCATTGGTAGGGTCACAACTCCTTGCCAACACAGCCATTGGTAGGGTCACAACTCCTTGCCAACGATGCCATTGGTAGGGTCACAACTCCTTGCCAATGATGCCATTGGTAGGTCACAATTCCTTGCCAACGATGCCATTGGTAGGTCACAATTCCTTGCCAAAAAAGCCATTGGTAGGGTCACAACTACTTGCCAACACAGCCATGGATAGTGTCACAACTCCTTGCCAACACAGCCATTGGTAGGGTCACAACTCCTTGCCAACACAGCCATTGGTAGGGTCACAACTCCTTGCCAACACAGCTATTGGTAGGGTCACAACTCCTTGCCAACACAGCCATTGGTAGGGTCACAACTCCATGCCAACACAGCCATTGTAGGGTCACAACTCCATGCCAACACAGCCATTGGTAGGGTCACAACTACTTGCCAACACAGCCATGGATAGTGTCACAACTCCTTGCCAACACAGCCATTGGTAGGGTCACAACTCCTTGCCAACACAGCCATTGGTAGGGTCACAACTCCATGCCAACACAGCCATTGGTAGGGTCACAACTCCATGCCAACACAGCCATGGATAGTGTCACAACTCCTTGCCAACACAGCCATTGGTAGGGTCACAACTCCTTGCCAACACAGCCATTGGTAGGGTCACAACTCCTTGCCAACACAGCCATTGTAGGGTCACAACTCCATGCCAACACAGCCATTGGTAGGGTCACAACTCCATGCCAACACAGCCATTGGTAGGGTCACAACTCCATGCCAACACAGCCATTGGTAGGGTCACAACTCCTTGCCAACACAGCCATTGGTAGGGTCACAACTCCTTGCCAACACAGCCATTGGTAGGGTCACAACTCCTTGCCAACACAGCCATTGGTAGGGTCATAACTCCATGCCAACACAGCCATTGTAGGGTCACAACTCCATGCCAACACAGCCGTTGGTAGGGTCACAACTCCATGCCAACACAGCCATTGGTAGGGTCACAACTCCATGCCAACACAGCCATTGGTAGGGTCACAACTCCTTGCCAACATAACATTGTCCACTACAGATAATTTGGCCATGAAATCCCTCTATTTTGTTATCCACTTTTATTTATAAATTTTACTGCCGCAAAAATTAGAGAGTGCCTGTATGTGTCTTTGTAAAGCATGTAGCATTCTATCTCAAAATGCATCATTACCTATAGAATGTCAAGTTGTCTCATTTATGTCCCATATACTCTCAAGTATGTCACATTGCATTCCTCTTAATGTCACAAAACATTCCTTATAATGTCACAAAACATTTCTTTTAATGGCACTTTTTCTGTTAATACATATCCCTCCTCAATATATAAACCAGAATTCATATAACAATTTTCTTTATGTCATCTTCACACTAATGTCACATGCAATTTCCTTGAAGCAATCACTTGACCATGTTTTCATGTATGTTTATGTTTTTAACACCAATATATCATGATTTGTAGAGTTATTCCGATAAGGATACAAAATGTGCATTAAAGAAATCAAATTAATTTGTGCACAGACAGCATTCAAAGTAATATTTACAGATTAAAGTTGACTTCTAAATTTT